AAATAAATAAGTGAAATAAAGGTATTGTGTCCATCTACAACTAAAAATAAATAAATATTTTTTTAAAAAAAGGTTGGAGGGGCTGGGGATGTGGCTCAGTGGTTAAGTGCTCTTGGATTCAATCCCCCAGGATCAAAACAAAAACAAAAACAAAAAAACAGTGTGGTAGTGCATGCCAATAATCCCAGCAACATGGAAGGTTGAGGAAGGAGGATCACAAGTTTGAGGCCAGCCTCAGCATTTTAGTGAGACCCTGTCTCAAAATGAAAAAAGCAAAAAGGACTGGGGAAGCAGCTCTGYGGTAAAGCACTCCTGGGTTAAATCTCCAGTACCAAAAAAATTCTAAAAAGAACCTTACAGAGCATGTAGATGTCACTTTGCCACTTTCAATATCAATCAACATTTTTTTATACACTAGCTTTACTGAGATATAATTCACTCATTTTAAAAGTATCTAACTCATGATTTTTAGTGTACTTACGAAGTGGTGCAACTATCACCAGAATCAACTTTAGAACATCCTCATCACCCCAAAGAGAAACCTTATATTCTTATCTGAGTTCCCCAATCTTAGGCAACTACCTATCTATTTTCTGTCTCTACACATTTACCTATTCTGGATACTGCATGCAAATGGAATCACACACTATGAGATCCCTTGTGACTGATTTTTCTCACTTGGCATACACTAAAGATTCATCAATGTTACAGAATGCACCACTTTTATGAATAATAATATCCCACTGTATGGTTATATCACATTTTGTTTATCCATTCATCAGCTATTTGATCTGATCAGCTCTTTATGTCTCCTCCTTAAACATGAATAGATAACTTAGGTTATGAACATTTGAGAAAAACCTTTAACATGAAAGACAAAGACCAAAACATTTTTAATAAGGAACTCAGAGAAAAAAGAGACAATTCAGGAAGCAAAGAAAACTTCAGAAATCTTTAATATTCTAAGATATGATATTATACCCATTAAAAAAAGAAACAGAAAACTATTTTAAAAGTGAATACTTAAAGATGACCAAGGAATTCTTCTGGTTTAAAAACATGATAAGGAATAATTAAAAATTCAATAGAAAAACTAGAAGATAAATTTGAAGAAATTTCCCAGAAGATAAAAAAGAGAGACAGAGAGAGAGAGAGATGGAAAACACAAGAGAAAATATTTCTCCAAGAAAATTAGAAGATCAGTTCATGGAATCCAATTTCCAGTACACTAAAAATATATGAGTTCTAAAAATGAAAAGTAGACTACAATATTTTCAGAAATAATTTGAGAATAATTCCCTGAACTGAAAGACATTAGCTTCTCGACTGAAGGGTTCACTGAATTAAAACAAAATGAATGAAAAATGGCCTAACCATCATGTTTGTCCTCATGAATTTCAAAAAACTAAGGAGAAGAAATGTTCCAGAAAGAAAAAGAAATCATACACTAAATATCAACACTGGAAGCTAGAAGACAAGGAGCACTGCCTTCAAAGTTCTGAAAGAAAAGTATTTCCAACCTAAAATGCTATCCTCAGTCAAACTATTTATTAAGGAAAGGGAAACCAAGTATTTTTCAGACAGGTAGGTGTCATAAATCACATCCCAGTGCTCCCTTTCTCAGGAAGCTGTTATAAATGTATGCCACCAAGATAAAAAAGGGAAAAGGTCTGGAATTTAGAAAATATAAGATCAACTATAGAAGAGAGGTGAAGGGAATCCCTGGGCTGATGCTAGAAGCAAAATTCCAGGATGAGAGTTGGGCAGCAGGGTTAGAGTACAATCAGTCCTGGGAGGGAGCTGTCATCTGTCATCCACAGGGGGATGGGCTCCATGAGAAAACCAAATGAGTAGTCCACCTGATGTGTCTGAACCAGCCAAGAGCAGATCTATAGTTCTGGCAAAGAGGTGAAGGTTAAAACAATTCRTAGTTATATAGAACACAAAGCAAGAAAAAATATAAATATTGTTCTTGGGAAAACAAAAAGTGTGTAAGAAAAAAAAAACATTGTAGTTTACCATGTTACTTAGTTATAAAAAATAGCAATATCAATAGTGGAAGGGCTGGGAGAGTGCTTGCCTCCCAAGCCCAAGGCCTTGGCTTTTATCCCAGCACCTCAAAAAATAAAGAAAGTCCTCTACACACACACACACACACACACACACACACACAGGATTTATATTATATTAACTAATAAAAATGATAATTTACCTACATTAGGAGAATGGAAATACTGGGTTGAACATAAGGAAATTGCAAGACTACTAAATCATATCTTCTATAGTAAAAACTCAAAAGATATATGTACAATAAGAAAGAGCAATGCATGTAATTTAGAAATATCCTGGAAACTACCAGAAAGAAATTTCTTCTGATAAGAAGGAAGAGGAATTAGGAATGAGGCGGTTAAGGCAGGTAACCACTTACTGTTTCTTATGTGATGTCTTAAATAACACTTATATTTTTCATTAATTATTAATTTGTATTCATAAAAAATTACATTTTCYGAAATTCCTGGCACATAATAAATGCTCAAAAAATAAAATATAATAGAGACTAAATCTTTTATTTAAAGTGGCAGGTACATTATCTTGAGTATCTTGAGTATCACCAGATTCTAAGTCTATTTTAAGGCATCTCTACCTATTACTTATATCACACGAGAAAATCAGAATTTTAAAAACAATTATATTTCTGAGGCAATGACTTTTATTCTCCCACTATTCTGATAAGAAGTACCTGATCCTCTGAAAGATTCTCAGCATCCCAGTTGCTGCAACGAAGTAGAAGGGACTTGTCAAGGGGAAAGTTCAAAACTGTTTCAGCAAGTGATTTCAGGCTAAGTCCATTACACAGCAAATTTTTCCTACAATAAAAAAAAATCATATATCAAAAAATGAGCAAAGAATATGAGCAGGAAAATTTAAAAATGACATATAAATTACCAATAATAAACAGAGGACCAATAATCACTAGACATCAAATAAAATGATAATTTGTTATCTATCAGAGTGCAAAGAGTTTTTTAAAAAACTGTATACAGTGTCAATGAAGAATGAAGAATCAGGCAATATCATTTWAAATTTGTGAATGAATGGGCTGGGGATGTGGCTCAGTGATTTGCCTAGTGCTTGCCTAGCATGCATGAGGACATAGGTTCAATCCCTAGTGCCACACTCAAAAATTAATAACTAAACAAATACAAAAATAAAATTTGTGAATGGTACTTTTTTTTTAGCCTTTGTGAAAAACAGTTTAATAATAAACAATTGCCAAAACTTTGAATATGAAAATTCTCTGATCCAACAATTCCACTTCTGGGAGTTTATCCTAAAGACAAAAGTACATAAAATGATCTTCACTAAAGCACTACTTACAATAGGAAAGAATTATAAACAAAACAACCTAAATGCCTATCAATAGTGTTTACATATTACTTCTTTTTTAAAAATATTTTTAGTTATAGATGGACACAATACCTTTAATTATTTTAAAAARTATTTATTTTTTAGTTGTAGTTGGACACAATACCTTTGTTTTATTTATTTATTTTTATGTGGTGCTGAGGATCGAACCCAGGGCCTCGCACATGCTAGGCAAGCACTCTACCACTGAGCCACAATCCCAACCCCTATGCATTACTTCTTAAATGTGAAAAAGTGATAAGGTTATTTTCACTGAAGAGGTGAAAATTCAAAAAACTAATAATATAAACTACACTTTGTGTGCTTCAAAAAAATTCTGATTAAAATTGCCACAAAGTGGTATAAAAATTTAATTTGTCCAAAGATCAAAAACAAACATGAAATTAAGAACACATGTAACACATGCCTATAATCCCAGCTACTCCGGAGGCTCAGACAGAAGAATTGCAAGTTCAAGGCCAGCCTTGGAAATTTAGAAAGACCTGTCTCAAAAAAAAAAAAAAAAAAAAAAAAGTCAAATGCTCACTAGCAGAGCTTGTAGCTCAGTGGTTAAGTTAAATCCTCACTACCAAAATAAAATAAAATATAAAAGTAGAAGCCGGGTTGTAGCACAGTGGTAAGCATGTGCACAACATGAGCATGGCCTTGGGTTCAATACCCAGTACCAAAAAAATTACAACAGAAGGAATGCTTATTATTAAAACTCAAATGACAGAGAAATACAATGGGTGAAAAGAAAACTCCTCCACTCATTCACTCATATTTTCTTTCCTCAGAAATAACCACTCTTTTTTTTTTTAAAGATAGAGAGAGAGAGAATTTTTAATATTTTATTTTTTTTAGTTTTCGGCAGACACGACATCTTTGTTTGTATGTGGTGCTGAGGATCGAACCCGGGCCGCACGCATGCCAGGCRAGCGCACTACCGCTTGAGCCACATCCCCAGCTCAGAAATAACCACTCTTAACAATGTCAGCCCTCCATGTTTTTTCTATGCACAAAAAACAACAGATGGTTATAGGTAAAGGAGAAAATGTCTTATTTTGGTATTTGCTTTGTTCTCTGCTTTGCAACTTACTCTATTCTTAATGTACTATATATTTCCTTCCATGGCAGATGATACAAATGTTCTCACTTCATCCTTTTTAACAGCTGTGTAGTTTTACAAGCATGGATACTTCTATTTCTTAAAATTGTTACCCTCATTGAAGACAATATTTAATTTTTAGTTATTTAATGATTCCACTTGAGTGATTAAATTTTTTTAATGTCACATCTGGGAAGATTTCACATTTCTTGAGGATGAATTAAAAACAAAATGCCAGGGCTGGAGTTGTAGCTCAGTGGTAGAGCACTTGCTTAGCATGTGTGAGGCCCTGGGTTCGATCCTCAGCACCATGTAAAAAAATAAAGGTCTTGTGCCCATCCACAACTAAAAAAATATTTTTTTAAAAAAAAATGCCACTTTTTCCACTTTATGTTTTCAATAAAAGATTTCAAAATCATGTACAAAAACCTCTACAATAAAAAATCTAAAGATGCTAGGCACAGTGATGCACACCTATAGTCCCAGCTACTTGGGAGCCTGGAGACAGGAAGATTGTTTAAGCACTGGAGTTTGGACCAGTCTGGGGAATATAGTAAAACCCTGTCTCTTAAAAAAGTCTAAAGAGTAAGAAGATAGCAGTTGTCCCCCTAAAATCYTGCTACCTTTAGTTAAATGTCAGTTCCATCTAACTTCCTAGTTAGCTGAAAGAAATAACTACTTACCATAGTCAACAAAAGGAGCAATCTAACAGCTGTTAATACTGAGTTTGAGTCTTACCCCTAATATCAAATACACTATGTCAAAAATTTTAAGTTTATTACTAAAGTGCTCAATAAAAGTGTTTTTTAAAATTTTTTTTGTAGTTGTATATGGACACAATACCTTTACTTTATATATTCATCTTTATATGGTGCTGAGGATTGAAYCATGGGCCTCACACGTAGAGTGCTAGGTAAGCATTCTACCACTGAGCTACAACCCCAGCCCCAATAAATAGTTTTTAAAATTCTGATGTCCTTAAAAGAAGGAAAGGTCTGATAAGTTTTATTCTTATTTCTGGAGAAATTCAAAATAATATTCAGCTTTGGCTAAATTCTTATTTTGACACTTGATCATTCTGTATTTAGTCAAAAAGAGAATTCAATGTACCTTCAATTTCTATGTGTTCATATAGTAAGAATAAATGCATAGAAAAAGATCTAAAAGGAAAATCAAGCAGCCGTAATGATGAAGAAAGTAACAGTTAAAATTTACATAGTACTGTACATGTCGAACACTAAGTTCTTTACAGAGTTTAACTGATTTAATCCTCACACCAGTCTTACAAGATGGAAACACTRCTATCTCTTATAGATAAAAGAAACTGAGGAACAGAGAAGTTAGTGCCTTGCCAAACTTCACAAAGCTAGTGAGTGGCAGCACTAGGACTCCCACACATAGTCTGCTCCCAAGTAACCTTTAGCTTCTATACATGGCACAGAATATGGGAAGCCTTAATAAAAGGTAGCTTTTGCTGTTATACTTAAAATATTTTTTACAGAATTTTCATTTTTACAGCAATATTTTAATGAAACAAAATGTATAGAAAAAAATGTATACTTACAAGAGATTTCTGCATATAAACCAAACTAAAAATTCATTTTTTWAAAATATATGTTTTTAAGTTATAGATGTACACAATACTTTTATTTTACTTTTATGTGGTGCTAAGGATCGAACTGTGTGCTTCACGCATGCTAAGTGAGTGCTCTACCACTGAGGGCTGGGGCTGGGGCTCAGTGGTAGARCATGTGTAAGGTACCACAAATAAATTAATTAATAAATAAAATAAAGGTCCATCTACAATTTTTAAAATATTTTTTTAAAAATTCATTTTATACTAAAAAACTATGATAAGCACAGATTTTAATCAGGCCATCTCTGAAGCTTGTCAAATCCTCCCACCTTTTAGTGTCAGTATCACTTGAGGCAAGATGAGCTGTTTCAGCTCCTGTCATTATAAAGGAGGACTGGTACAAACACATGAGGAGGAAACATGACCCCTGGAAAAAACAAGTTGAAATAGAATTTCCATAGGAATAGAATTCTAAGGAAAAGGGAAATCACTCTTCCTCCCAGACAAGTGCTAGCTCTACCATAATTTTTAGCCTAAAACAAGGTTTGCAAACTCAAATGTTTATCAGGATGAGTCAGGGTTATAATGGGAATGGTAGAGACTCTGATAAATTTAAAAGAGCATGTTCATTAAAGGGGACAATCACTATCTGGCTTATTATTGCCCTCAAGAACTCTGGACTTATTTAAATTTTCAAGAAAAGCCAGAAATACTGATACTTACAATTAAATCTTCTGGATTTAAAATTGAATTTTCATGTGGGAAAAAAAAGCTACAGCCCTAATTTAGCCAGTTTGTAAATTTATAGTGATGCTTTACTAACATTTCATAAAAAAAAGACAAATTCATCAGGCATGGTGGCACACTCCTATAATCCCACCTACTCGAGAGGCTGAGGACGGCGGATCCCAAGTTTGAGGTCAGCCTGGGCAACTCAATGAGACCCTGTCTCAAAAAAATAAAAAGGCCTGTGGATATAGCTCAGTATTACAGTGTKTGCTTAGTATGCACAAGACCGTGGGTTCAAACACCAGCACCATACACAAAAATGACAAATTCTAGGTAACTAATGTGGTCTCRGAAGTTGAAATAATCTTATAAATTCAATATGCACTTCAGAATCCTCTGGGTTTCTAAAGAATTTCAAAGATTTCATTATCGATTTCTAATAATCTACAAATCTTGCTAAAATATTTGCCCCACAGCTGTGGATAGCCTAGCATTCATGTCAATCATACCTTTGCCGTATGGCCAGATAGCGGAGGTCCAGGCACCCCCGAACAATGAGGCCATAATCCTGCAGAAGTTTGCTGGCATCTTCTGAACATCCCACTCCAACTTTTAAAATGGTGCCATCTGCCAAAATGTCCAATAATGTTCTTGGTAGTGTTTTACCTCCACAGATCAGCTTGGGCAAGCGAACCAATACACACAGGCCACTTGGTGAGGCCATCTGTAAGAGTGACAGAGGACTAGCTTTGCCTTCCAGATTCACCTGCAACAGAGCAAGAAAGACCATGATCTGTGATTCATACCACTAAAGAGCAGTAAGCACAACATAAAACTGGGGGCAAGGGTGGGGTGGGGTAAGGCTAAGAGGCACATCTTAAACTTCCCAAAAAGAGAAGCCAACCAGATTTGGGGTTAAATCTAAGGAGAGTAAGTACTAACTAACACAATGGACACTGTAAAGCAGCAACCTAAATAAAGCTTCCTGGGGGCCCAACTGTAGCCCTGAAACATCAGCAGTCCATAAATAGTGGCCAGCTGACAAAGAGGCACTCTGGGACACACATTGGCAGAGTCCGACACAGTACTAGAAAAGAGGACTAAGAAGTAGAGTGCCAAATGACCATGTTCTCTTCATCATCCAGACTCTCTGACACACATACCAGCAACACCACTCACTTACCTTATCATCACACTCTCAGAAACCGATTTTTTTAAATAGGTAGGAAATACAGCTGTGTAAATAAGTGGTACCTGCCAATAAAACAAACCCTGGWGGCACAAAGTGCTTTCTCAGCATTTCTTATCTAAATGGTGGTCATAAAGATAAAAATGGATATTGAGCATTAAGTTAGGACATTTATCTTAAGAGATAAAAATAATTTCATGTATTAACCATATTTAGACCTTCATCTTTTGGGGGGTCATAGGTCAATTTGAAAAAATACTAAAAGCTAAAATGTTATCCCTAGAAAAATTTATATACAAAATTCACATATATTTTTAAGAGTTTAAAGATTCCCTAAAAYTATCCATGGGATGTTGAGCATAGAGGTACAGTCCCATAATCCCAGCAACTCAGGAGGCTAAGACAGGAGGATCACATGTGTGAAGCCAGCCTCAGAAACTTAGAGAGATCCTGTCTCAAAATAAAAAATAAAAAGGAATGGTGATACAGCTCACTGGTAAAGGTCAAGCACCCTTGGGTTCAATCCCCAGTACCAAAAACAAAAAACAATCCATGGGCTCCAAAATGAGGTTCCCAATAAATTCCAATCCTTCTCATACTTCAGGAGAGGAAACTTAAGGCCTACAGGTGAAACAGTTTGACCAAATATGATGACTTAATAATAAAGCCAGGACTATAACCTAAATTTCCCAGTCTCTAGAGAAGTACTTCTCAAAGGACAGTGATTTTTCCCTCCAAAGGAAATTTGGTAATGTCTGGAGAAAATTTTGGCTGTCACATATGGGAGAAAGAAGTACACTGGGATCTAGTAGGTAGAGGCCAGAACGCTGCTAAACATCCCACACTGTACAGACTAGCCATTCACAACGAAAAATCACCTGCCCAAAATGTGAAAAATGGGGAGGTTGAAAGACCCTGTGCCAGGACAGTGTGGCTCTCTCACTGACACACTACCTATGTGCAAGGCATTGAACAGTGCCATCACAGCCATGGTTATGGAAGCAGGGTTCCTGATTTAGGAACATACAACCTYACAGGAGGTGCAGCAGACATTAGAAACACAAGCTGACAAACACAGAAAACGACACAGCAAATACCAAAGGAGTGATTCAAACAGTGTCACAAGTAATCAGCAGGAATATTTCATAGTTGAGCTAACCAAAGTCACAGAGAGAAACGAGCATCACAAAGAGCTGCTGTTAAAAATAAAATATTTGAGAGTCTTGGCCCTCAAATTCTACCCTAATGCTAAGTAAAACATGAGTTAATTCATACAAGCCTTAGAATTTCTTCTCAGGCACTGCTTTACAAATAAGTAGTAGTTTTATACCCTTAAAACAAACMATGCCAGTGTGATCTCTATGGTGTCTATCTCAGTCAAGATCCAAAAGACTTAGAAGAAATATGACTACTTCTGGGTGTGGTAGCACACAACTGTAGTCTCAGTGACTCGGGAGGCTGAAGAAGGAGGATCACAAGTTTAAGGTTAGCCTCAGCAATTTAGCAAGGCCCTAAACAACTTAATAAGACCCYATCTCAAAATAAAAAATAAAAAGGACTAAAGATGTGGCTCAGTGTGGGCTCAATCCCCAGTACCAAAAAACAAAACAAACAAACAAAAAGAGAACTGAATATTGGTTTTTGTTCTATACCAATCCATCTTGATGTGGCAAAACTGCCTTTTTCATTAATAAGCAGCTTTCTCCCTCTGTAATACAGGCTGAATATCCCTTATCCAAAAATCTTGACACCAGAAGTATTTTGGATTTAGATTTTTTTTTCAGATTTTGGAATATTTGCATATACAATGAAATATCTTGAGGATAAGACCCAAGTCTAAACATAAGATTCATTTATGTTTCATATATACTTTATATATACCACCTAAATGTAATTTTGTACAATATTATTAGCACAGCTGCATTTTGGCTATGACCTGTCACTTGAAGTCAGGTATGGACTTTCCACTTGTATCATGTCAGCACTCAAGAATTTTCAGATTTTGGAGCATTTTAGATTTTCAGATTAGGGATGCTCAATGTATATCTGCCCTGCCTTAGAAAAGACTATAGCTCTCCACTTCTAATATGTAGTACTGCTAATTTGGCATAAAACCCCCTGCAAATTCTTAAGGCTTGACCTTTGCACATCAGGTCCAATAAATAAAATATACAACTAAACACAAACATACATATGCCTRTTAAAAATATATTTATTTTTTAGTTGTAGTTGGACATAATATCTTTATATCACTTATTTATTTTTCTGTGGTGCTAAGGCTCAAACCCAGGGCCAATACATATGCCTTTTTAATAGTGCTTCTGTACTGTGTTGAAGATCCTATATATTTTAATCAGTTTACTCACTAGGCATCCAAATGTATAATTATGATTCCAATTTACATTGAATGCATAATTAGAAGTRTAATTTTTCTAGAAAGGCAATTTAGCTTAAAGAATAAGATGCCCAGTTTTTATTTCTCATATTTCCCCTTTTTCTTTATTTCATTAGTATCATTTAATCATGTGGTCTCTGGGGTTTTTAAAGATTATTTAACCCACATAAAAATGTTTGAGATATATACAATATACAGTCATATGCCATGTAATGTTTCAGTCAATAATATGGGTCACATATACAATGGTGGTCTCATATGTTTATAATGGAGCTGAAAAACTCCTGTCACGCAGTGATGGACATATAGCCATTGTAACATCACAGCACAAAGCATTACTCACATATTTGTGGTGATGCTGGTATAAAGAAACCTACAGAATGCCAGTCATAAAATAAAGCACACCCAACACAAAGATAAGATACATTTGAGGGAATGAATGTCTATTATCCTGATCTTATCATTGCACACTCTATTCAAGTATTGAGATATCACACTGTACTCCATAAATATGCAAAATTATGTAATATTTTAAAATAAAAATACATATTAAAAAGTTTAAAACATACCACTAAGTATAGTACATAATACTTGATAATAATAAATAAATAAGCCAAGTGTGTTGGTGCATACTTGTAATCCCAGTGACTCAAGAGGCTGAGGCAAGAGGATCACAAGTTTAAAGCCAGCCTTAGCAACTTAGCAAGATTCTGTCTAAACATAAAAAAGGCTGGGGATATAGCTCAGTGATAAAGCACCCCTGGGGTCAACCTCTTAATACTGCAAAAATACTACCACCAACAACAACATAATAACAAACAACTATATTACTAGTTTATATATATCACATTTTTATTATTTTAGACTGTACTCCTACTTATAAAAAAAGTTTACTGTAAGACGTATGTCATGTTACTCCAGTAGCAGCCTCATACAATCTCCTGTTTATGACATCTCTGGATTGCATCAAAAGGCCACAACAAGTGACTAACCATACCACAACTATAATGCTCACATAATGACAAAGTTGCTTAATGAGACATTTCTAGAATATATTATTTTCAATAAGTGGCACATGACTGTACATGTATATTTATTTATAAATCACATACATGTAATGTGGTACTACTGTATTATATACATATTTTGGACTGGAGATTGAACCCAGAGCCTCATGCATGTTAAGTATGTGTTTTATCACTGAGCTACACCCCTACTCCTGTATACACTATTAAATATACACAAAATGAGATGGGCATCATTATACCCTAGGTTAATGATTAATCATTATACCCTAGGATATGTGATTGCACATATGGTGTGATGCTACATTGTGTACAACCACAGAAATGTAAAGTTGTGCTGCAATTGTGTACAATGAAACAAAATGTATTCTGCTATCATATATACCTAATTAAAATAAAT